TCTGGGGGTGGAACCTCTCCTGCAGCCCCCCAGTTGTCCCCTTTCCCCAGATGGCAACCTGCGGCAAGTGCAGCCGGGCTGATAGTCGAGTGTCGCGATGTTCCGAGTGTGGGCACTCAGGGCACTCCAAGCCAGGACTGCTTTGCAAGCGGGGCACCCCTGAGAACTGTCTGTCCGGGGTGGGGGTCGGGTCCCTTTAAGCACAGCCCTCGGCTAGCCTGAGACAGCAGCTCCACGCTCTAAGTCCTCCTCTGATGCCCTGCCGGCACTGCTTCCGGCCAGCCTTAACCTCTGTTCAGGGTCCACTCAACGTGGACATGCTAGTTCGAATTAGCAAAACGCTAATTCGAACTAGTTTTTAGGTCTAGCTGCGCTAATTCGAATTAGCTTAGTTCGAATTAACTGACTAAGTTAACTAAGTTAGTTCGAATTACCACTGTAGTGTAGACGTACCCTCTTTCTGTTCATCTTTGGTGGTTAGGACCAATCATTGTTTCACTGCTTCAGGGGGTAGCTGAGTTAGTCTGTTACAGAAAAAAACATGTCATCTGAAGAAGTGGGCTGTGCCCACAAAAGCTCATGATACCATCTACATGTTTTGTTAGTCTATAAAGTACTCCTGACCATTTGTTGTTTTGTTCATTGTTTCACTGTTTTCCTATCTTACCATCTGTGGGGGAGGAGGAAATCAATATCCAGAGTAGAAACATTTGCAATTAAGAATTTATAGAAAAAAGTTGTTCATAATTTTTGGCCCAAACCAACCATCCAGTGAGAAAAAATTTCAGAAGAGAAATCATGTCAGAGAGAAGCCAATGAAAGATAATGATCAATGAGTGTGAAAGAAAAGGATGTAGGTCATGTCACCAGTGTTTTCTGAAGCTTTTGAAGAGGAAAAAAATTTCCACTAGAAAGGAATTGCATCAAAGCAAAAAGTGCCTAATAGTTTAGATATTTTATGTAAAGTCTTAAAATCAGAGAAGATTAGGGTTGGAAGAGATCTCAGGAGTTCATCTAGTCCAACCCCCTGCTCAAAGCAGGACTAACCCCAAATAAATCATTCTAGTCAGGACTTTGTCAAGCCTGGCTTTAAAAACCTTAGGCAATCCAATCCAATGCTTCATCACCCTCCTAGTGAAATAGTTTATTCTAATATCCAATTTAGGTCTTCTCCACTACAACTTGAAACCATTGTTTCTAGTTCTGTCATCTGCCACTAGATGCCTTGCTCCGTCCTCTTTGGAACCTCCCTTCAGGTAATTGAAGGCCACTCTCAAATCCCTCCTCACTTTGCTCTTCTGCAGACTACATAAGCTCTGTTCCCTCAGCTTCTCCTCACAAGTCACATGCCCCAGACTAGGGATATAGTATAGTTTAGTTGATTAACCAATTAACCGATAAGCAAAAGCTTATGGTTAATACTATACACTACACGCATTTCCCCCCTCCCCCTTGCCAATAATTGTTTTAGCAGGCTGCCCAGCTCAGTCCCAGCTTACACTGGGTCCTGCACCAAACCCCTCTGCAGCTCGTGCAGGGTCTGGGACTTCAGACCCCCTCCTCTCCGGTCAGAGACTGCCCGGGGACTATAGAATAGTTGACTAACTGATAAGAATTCATGAGGTTAATTGACTATTCAATTAACTGATATTTAACATCCCTACCCCAGACCTCTAATCATTTTTATCCACATCCTTTGTGTAGTGAGGGTCCCAAAACTGCACCCAATACTTCAGATGAGTGGCCTCATCAGTGCTGTAACAGAGGGGAATAATCACTTTCCTTGATCTGCTGGCAATGCTCTTAGTAACGCAGCCCAATATGCGATTAGCCTTCTTGACAAGAAGGGCACACTGTTGAATCATATCTGGCTTCTTGTCTATTGTAATCCCTCGGCATGGGCGGCAGGTTAGTATAATTTTTGGTGGTGTCCCAATAGCCATGCCCCCTGGCCCGTTAGCCACGCCCCTTGGCAAACACACAACCCCCCTGCTAGCCACGCCCCCTGGCAAACACCCCCCACTCCCCGTTAGCCATGCCTCTGGAAGTAACATGCTCAGGGCAAGATGGACACATGACCAGAAGTAAAAGGTGTCATGTCACCCCTCTTGAAGGGCTTTTCCCACCATCCTCCTATCAACAGGGATTAGTTTGGCCCCCACCAACCCCCTCCTCATGCCCCCGCATGCAGCTATCTTGCAGTTGCATTAACCCAATGTGTGTGACATTAACTCGGGGGCAGAGCGCTGGGGGATGTGTTCCCTCTAAGGCTGTCTACACTCACAGCTTCTTGTGCAAATACAGCCATTCTTGCTCAAGACCCCACAGAGCAGCCACACTGCCCGCTTGCTCTTGTGCAAGGAAATTTACAGTACGGCGTGGTAAGAGAGGGCGTCTTGCTCAAGAGCTACGCTCTTTTCTTACAGGTGTAAGCTCTCTTGCACAAGAGGGCTGTGTGCATGCTCAGCGGGGATTTCTTGTGCAAGAAACCCCTATGGCTAAAATGGCCATCGGAGCTTTCTTGGGCAAGAGAGTGTCCACACTGCCATGGATGCTCTTGCGCAAAAGCACAGCTCACACATGGCAGTGTGGATGTTTTCTTGCACAAGACTTCTTGCATAAGAACCCTTGCACAAGAAGCCACCAGTGTAGACATAGCCTAAGAGTTTCCTCCCCATGAGCAGAATGAATTTTGTGTTGTGCACCAGTTCTGAGTTCATTGGCACACTTTCTTTTTTTTAAATGGAGATTGCCTATCTCCTAGAACTGGAAGGGACCTTGAAAGGTCATGAAGTCCAATCCCCTCCCTTCACAGCAGGACTAAGTACCATCCCTGACAAATTTTTGCCCCAAATCCTTAAATGGCTTTCACAAGGATTGAACTCACAACCCTGGGTTTAGTAAGCCAATGCTCAAACCACTGAGCTATCCTTCCCAGTGCCCTCCCCCTTCCCTCACTGCCCCTGCCCCCTTTTTCCCCTAATGTCCACCCCCTCACCACCCTCTGCCCCCGTTCCCCGCATGCCCCTCTGTGCCCTCACACATGACTTGCTCCATCCCCACCTTTCTCACGCCCACCCCTTCTTTCAAGCCTTCTCCCAGCACCTCTCCCTCCCTCCTCTAGCCTCCAGTGCTCTTACCCGCTCTTCTCCCAGCATCACCCTGTCCCCCATCCCACTGACACCTCTCCCTTCCTGCCCTTTTCCTCATTGTCTCCACTTGGTCCCCTGGCATTTGTCTCTCCTGCACCCTGTCCCTTGATACCTTCCCCTTTCTTCTCCTGCCCCCCCTTTCCTCCCATCAGCACAAGCCCCTTCCTTCCTATTTTTCCCCTTCCCCTTCTGCCTTCCAGTTTGCGAGGCTGGAGTCTGTGGAGCTTCTCCAGCTGCTGGCCCAGAGCCAGGCAGAAGGTCTCCAAGAGATACATGAGACCGTAGTAACCACAGACCCCAATGCTCTGAGCAGGACCCGCACACGGAGGCACCGGAAGCCACATTTATCCTCCAGGTTCAACATCCCACCTGCCTGGGAAGTTTAGCTCCCCATGGCAAGCTGTGTGGGGCCAAATTGGTGACTCCTGGTTGAGTCTGATGCCTTGGGGTGGAGGAGAAGCCCTGTCCCATCCCCTGAGGCTGCATCTAGACTGGCAAGTTTCTCCGCAAAAGCAACTGCATTTGTGCAAAAACTTGCCAGCTGTCTACACCGGCCGCTTGATTGTGCGCAAAAGCACTGATGTTCTACTGTCTGAAATACGTGCTTCTTGCGCAAATGCTTTGATGTTCCCGGAAATGTTTTTGCGCAAGAGGGCCAGTGTAGACAGCTAAAAACTGTTTTGCGCAAAAAAGCCCCGATGGCGAAAATGGCGATCGGGGCTTTCTTGCACAAAACCGTGTCTAGATTGGCATGGACGCTTTTTCCACAAAAAGTGCTTTTGCGGAAAAGCGTCCGTGCCAATCTAGACGCTCTTTTCTGCAAATGCTTTTAACGGAAAAACTTTTTAATTAAAAGCATTTG